TTATTACTTAAGCACTTTTAACCTGACATTCACACACTCTGGTGGATGCATCAGGGAGACCGGATGGATGGCTGAATGGATATTTTTATTCATTTGTCATCACTATTACTCTCTTTGATATTTTTATTTTGTTCTCCTTTATTGCTGCTATTTTCTTTGTTTCCCACTTTTATTTAAATCCACCCAACTTTCTGTGCTGGTGAAGGCAAATGTAGCATTTGATGTAATAAATAAGGCTTTGAAAGTCCATACATTCTGGACACCTTAATTTAGCACATTAGCATTTACACTTCACACTTGGTGACAGTATAAAGTTACAGTGAAAACGACCTCTGAGGAGATTCATAAGTCAGAAATACATATTTAAGTATGGCAACCTGGACTCCCACATCAGATTTTGTAGCACGTGTGTTCCTCACATGTCAGGGCGAGATGATTATTTTGTTCTTAACACTAGGAACTACACATGTTAAGTCCTTTTTAGCTCAGTTTTTTGAGGGGTTGACTCTCTTCCGCACAGTTAAGATGCTGCAGCCATCAGCAAGCTCCTGCTTTGAGTCTTTTATCTGCCAGGAATAACTGTCACGTTTCTTCCCTGCCCAGCCCTGTGATTGTTGTGCAGACACGGCACAATCTTTAGCAGCATGCTGCCATGAGCTGTTTAGATGATTATGTATTTAGTGGAAACATTTATGAGGACAGCGCCGGTCATGTGATTGGACACGCGTCACCAGTAAAACCTTGGCTCTGTTGTTTGTCAGATCAAACAGATCAGTTGCTCATTACTTTAACCCTCAAATGCATGGGTCATTTCAAATGCCTTGCATTCATTTAAGGGTCAGGAATGGCATTATCTTATATCGCATATCTACATTTTGTGCATATTAAAGACTTATTATTGTAGTGAGGTGCATTGCATAAAAACTACGTGCCCTGCAAAAAACAAGGAAGGCATAATTTTATTGTCCTTCGCAGGATGCCCTTGAATGCTAGTTCACAAGTCTTTGCATCAATCTAAGCAGCTTTTTGATATAATCTCCTTGAATGTCAGCAGTTGTCAAAGAGTGAGATTAACTTTTAAAGTTATAGTGGTTCTCTACAGGATCCTCAAATTTGCCAAATCATAAAATAAATGACCATTCTTTATTTGGATTAGGATTTTTATTCATTTAAACTTGAACTTTTTCGAGATTAAAGTAATTAAAGTTCAAAATAGTAATAAGTTACAGTTTTGTACCAACTTATATCTAAACTTAACCACCTCAAATATATAGAAAATAAAGCACACTAACCCTAACCCTGACAGGCTAATGATATTGTTCCCCATATATTAACATATGCACAAGCTTTGATTACACAGGACTCAGCATGTCTGTGTGATTCTAAATGGCCCCAGTGATAGGTTAACCGAGCTTGCTTGCTTAAGCTTTGTTGTGTTTGGTTCAGCATTTCCTGGGGACCCCCCTCCCCCAACTCCACCCCAATCAGATGAATTACAAGGAGTGAGGTGTCAGCACTAAGGATAGGGATTGGCCCTCCTTACCATCTGCTACCATTGCTTTAATCCACGCAATGACAAAATCAGCTATCTTGGCCCACATGAGAGTAAAGTCAGCTCTATTCAACAGATGCTCGCTGACAGCTACTGTGAAATCTGTGTTTCTGCTGACAAATTAATCTTATTTGGTTGGATCAGTTGACTATTTCCCAGAAATGTCAAAATAAGCCAGGGATAAGTGATTTACTTAACAAAGCCCACAGTGCTCAAGTAAAAGTCCAGCACACAAAAATAATAGGTTAAACTGCAATGACAGTAAAGACTTATAAAAAAGAAGCAGCCAATAGAAGTCATGTATATACACTGACACTCACAACAGCATCCTAAAATGATTTAAAACAGGGCCATTCACATAGTTCAACGCCTTTATTTTATTTTTTAACATAGTCATTCCCTAGGTGGTCTGTAGAGGGAGACACACACCACTAGACTGTGTTACAAAAGTGAACCAACTAAGTAAGACCAAATGATGAATCAGAGTTGCTGTATGACCCACTGGAACATTTATGGGCTTACACATTACAGTTCACTTACAATAATAAGGGTCATGACCACTGTTACTTCAGAAGCAGTCTGGATTTCTGTGTAAAAACACAAACAGCCAGGGAGAATTGAAAGTGTCTCTTTGTGCAAGAGCAGTGCTGCACCAATGTTCTGAGCCTTATATAGACTCTCTTACGGCATCTTAGGGCATTGCAGCATTTTTGCACTGCTTTTGTAGCAACACAGTGGCACAGTTGTTAGGATTGTTGCTTCGCAGCAAGAAGGTCCTGGGTTTGAAACTGACCAAAGCGTTTCTTTGTTGAGTTTGCATGGTCTCTCTATTTCTGGGTTCTTTCCAGCTACTCCGGCTTCCTCCCACAGTCCAAAAATGTAAAGTTAAGGTTAATTTGTGATTCTAAATTGCTCATAATGGTGTGAATTTGAGTGTGAAATGCTGTCTGTCTGTCTCTGTTAGCTGTGCGACAGACTTGTGACCTGTCCAGGGTGTACTATCTCTTGCCCTGTGGTAGCCTGAATTGGAGAAGTGGAATGATGGGTAATTTTATTTTTTATATGGCATCAAAGTAAAGCTGAAAGTTGTAAACTGGTCTCAGGTGGACTGTTTTGCTCAGATTGGTCTGTTATATAGTGTTGGACTTGGGTAAGGGACAGCCTTTATGCTTTTGAAAGGATGCTTATCTGTTTTATAAGCTTTATAATTAGGCCAGACACAGTCATGTGTCTTTTGTCTAGTTATGCTGCTACAGGAACCTGTCTATGCATTTTACCACTGTGACACATTATTCCCTTTGTGTCTCCCACCTCTGTACCTTTGTGCTTACATATCTGTGGTTTCTGGCCCAACAACCTCCCAAGTGTCTATTCATCACTGCACACTTCTTTTCACTCTGCTCTCTTCACTTCCAATCAACCTAGACAGACGGCCACCCATCTGGATAAGACGGCCACCCATTTGGAATAAGCACTTAGTCATCGTTAGGTGGCTAAGTGTTTATTCCAGGATGGTTGGCAAACCTAGGAAAAGGGTTGCTGTTTTAATAATTCCTCCAAATAAACCCGAGATTATTTTCATTGGCTAGTAAACGGTGGTGGTTTTTCTGTTTATTTTTTAAATAAACAGTGATAGTATGTGCAGGGGTCTGTGTCCAATATCAGCAAGTTTTGGAGGAAACTCTTCCTTCCACAGAATTTTGTCTTCTTTTTTGGGTTGCTTCCTGAGGGTGGTGTGCAGTTAGTTTCATTTGTAACATTAATCTAGTTATAAAATAGGGTTCTAAGTTTAAATCAGTTGCCTAGGATGAGACGATCATGTGTTCTATACCTGAGACAAACTGTTGTCTCTGGTATTATTCTAATAATAATTAAAAAAAACATCTTGATGCTCAATCATCCAGGTATAGAAATCCCACAAAGTTGATTCTGTTCACCTGGACGTAGCGTTTTTCAGACAAAACGTTTCTCCCACTGAAAATGCTACATCCAGATGGATTTTAATTTTGATAAAAGTCTACACAGCAATGTGACTTTATCATAATTGTATTACATTTGAATGGAAAACAGAGAAAGCTACATCATACTGGCGTGTGCCTTTTAAACTCAAACACAACTGATTTGTATATTTTGTAATCATCTCATATAATGTAGGTAAACTTTCACATTTATTACATATGACCACTACATGATATAAATGTATCAAATCAAATGTAAAATTAAAAAACAGCAGTTGCAATACAAAGAGGAAAATCCCTGAGAAAGCACAAGTGTAAATTGGACTTAAAAGCAGAGAAAATTTCATTCCATTTTTTTTATTAAAAATTACTTCCAGTTACACCTCAGAAGTTAATCAATTCAAATGCTCAAAAATGCCACACGGTCCATTATAATCAAACACCTTGGTACTCGTGTTTGCAGTGTCCAACAAAGAGAGGCTCTGCCTGGATACCCCGCCTGCAAACGAAGTGAAACAGAAGCATCGGTGTATATTAAGCAGACCTCATAAAAAAAGAGTGCGGTGATGTGTTGAGGTATGCCATGTGCGTTATCAGAAAAGCTAAAGTACCTCAGGAGTTCGCAACGAAAGTCCTGCAATCGAGGAAACGCCTTGTCCACGTCAGAGGTCTGCTTCTCATCGCTCCACAGTCTCTCTGCGGCAGCACTTGCCCTCGGCCTGTGATTTTGGATTCATCCGGTCATTATTTTGATTAATCTCATGGGCTGCACATTCTACTTAGGTTCTCTAGTTTGATCATTTCAGGGATCTTTTCAATCTCTTACCAAAGACGTGGGGTCAGATTAGTAGCATCTACATATTCCCCCCACATGCAAACTTCACCCCCTATCACCAGCTTCTTCTGTTCCTCGGTACCTGTGAAAAAGATGTGGATTTTTTTTCTTGAATAACATGTTATACTTTAGAATTGGCCATTTACAGTTCAATGTTATCACACCACTTCAAGTCAAACTTGTCAAGTCAGAGTTTTAATGGGTCTTACTAATAAGAAATCTCTACTGATAGCTCCCACCACCAGAGAAGCACCATGGACAGCACATAAGTGAGCAAGGTTGTATTATTTTGTTATATTACTTGGCCAACACACACCAGAAAAGTTCAGAGGCTGCACGGTATAGTAGTTGCGCCAGTCCTGGCCATAGGAAATGTGGTTGATGTACCAAGGTGCAGCGAGCAGGACCCTGTAGCCAGCTTTGGTGATAGCGCTGAGTTCTGCCGCATAAGAAGCGGGGAGGCCCTTCCAGATGTGCAGCACTGTGTCCTTAGGAATCTGAGAAGGGTAACAACAACAACTGTCTTGCTCCTTGTGTGTTATATTGCCCAAGTTTTTTTTTGTATGTTGAATCCAGTTGATTAGTATGTTTGTATTAAATACTTTATCATTCAGAAAAGTCACATATTAAAAAAAAGCCACAGTTCAAAGAATTTCTAATCCTCAGAGCACAAGCCAGAGCACAAAGTTACTCATCTAGTGCACATTCATGTCTGGAAAAATGCCCAGTCTGGACAATCCCCATGTAGCCAACATTTGGCAACCAGGGTTGAACTTTCCTTGAGCCATTATACCTAAGCATGTGCACAAGATGAAAGTGAAAGACGTTGGCAAGAATTTTCTTTTCTTTCTGGGAAAGCATCAAGCTCAACTTCTGCAGAATCCCAAAACTGCCTCTGATGACAAAGCATACAGTCTAGGCTGTTAAACTAATTATCTCAACAGCATATTATCCTCACATTACTACCAACAAACTGTGTTCAATACAGCCTCTGTCCACGGAGAATTGTTAAACTGAACTGCTGCATTTATTCTTTTTAACATGTTATCTCCCTTGACATTATTTGAAAAACCTCAACAACATCTGTATAATGTTTTTACAATTTCCCATCTTTCTCAGTACTTGCAAAGATACATTTATCTTTGCTTTTATACCCTAAAATTAAGACAAAGTCTGTTAACTTGCTCATCCTGTCCCTTAAAGAGTTTTTTTCATATATTTATATAATGACAATAAAGAAAACTGTGCTGAATTGAGTGACCATTATGACCATGGCCCCTTAGAAAATTATAAAAAAAACATTTGTGAGGAATTTAGGTGTGATTTTTTATAGTAATTTAACCTTCGATAAACAGATAAATAATGTGATCAAGACCAGCTTCTTTCACCTCCGCTTACTTGCAAAGGTGAAGCCATTTCTCTGCTTCAGAGACTTTGAGTAAGCAACTTATTGGCCGACTACAGCTGGTTCAAAATGCCGCGGCAAGGCTACTGACTGGCAAGCAGAAGCGAGAGCACATATCCCCTATACTCACCTCGCTACACTGGATGCCAGTAAGTTTTCGAATTAATTTTAAGATCTTGACACTTGTTTTTAAAACATTGCACGAACTAGCTCCTATATATCTTTCTGATCTTTCAAATTGCTATACTCCAGTGAGATCTTTGAGGTCTGCGGACCAAATGCTTCTAGTTGTTCCTAGGTCTAGATTAAAACACAGAGGAGATCGGGCTTTTGCTGTGACTGCTCCGAAACTGTGGAATAAACTGCCTTTACATATCAGGACCTCTCCAACACTGGATACTTTTAAAACTCATTTAAAGACCCATTTTTACTCTTTGGCTTTTAATTCTGTATGAGTCTGTCATTCTTTTATTCTTATTATTGTCTTATCTTTTATTTTACTTTCCTTTTAAATGTTATCTGATTATTTTATTGTACAATACTTTGGTCAACAGTTGTTGTTTTTAAAAGTGCTATATAAATAAAATTGATTCGATTTGAATTCGAATTTCCAGCAGTTTTGTGTATAAAAACAATGGTTTTTAAATGGCTTGGAGAACCAAACATGAACAGTATCTGTAACTTTCTTCTGCTAAGCTTGTCTGATGGAAGCAGCCGTGGAATCTCTAATGGGCTACCAGCAGATTAGGTCAGGAGCAAGCATGTGGTTATGCTTTCAAGACCTTTTTTTAAAAAATAAAAAAAATCTGGAATATTTAGTAAGACACCATTATGCATATGCTTAACTCTTTGATTATCTCCCAGATAAACAAAGAGTCAATTGCTGGGTTTTTGCTTTGGCAAAGCAGCTGGCAGTAGCAGGACTTTTATATGTCTGTTCAGCAGTAAGCAGCATCACAACAATCACATCTCTCTGTAGCTGTGTCCAAGTTCTTTACACACCAAGTTATATTATTATTATTATTTGTTCATACCTGAAAAAAAAAAAGATTTCAGGTACAGTCTTGGGACACAGAACAGCCTTAGTAACACTGATGTATAAACTGGTATAAACACTTTGTACACCATGTAAATAGTCTCCAAATTGTAGCTATCCATAGATATATATTTTACGTAAAACCGTGTTTTATCTGTTGATTAATATCAGACAAACAAACACACACACACACACACACACACACACAGCAGCTTGAAAATCTTTAACTCTGCACAGCACACAGTTTTCATATTCTGACCCTTGAAGGCGAGGGGCCACACAGTGTAGTAGCGGGCCCAGTTGTGTGTAGGTCCGGGCTGGTCCAGATACCATGGAGAGGCTAGAATTACCCTGAGCCCTGCTTTAACCACCCTGCGTACTTCACACAGGTAACAGCCCTCTCTCCATACCTCCACCACTGATAGAGAAGTGTGCTGTAACACAAGGCTTTGGGCTCTCAGACAGATAAACAGAAAGCATGATATACATAGACTGTATATAAATAATGGACACAGCTAGGTGTCTTTACTGTTGCTCTCTTGCTGTTTTAACGAGTATCACGTTGGGCATCAGTAAGGCTTAAAACTGGCAACTGAAACTAAACACAAGCTTTCTTTTTGCACTCAAGTGACTCGCCCCCTTCAGGACACTAGAAAGAATGCCGATTGCAGGCACTGTGCATTGGCTGTGTTTTTTCAGACCTCTCACGTCCATTGTTTGCATACAGTCCATGGTGAAAGATCAGATCAGAACAGAACAGATGGATGTTGTCAACAAACTGTTTTAAACTGCTGGTTAGTTGGCTCAAACCACTAAACCTGCAGAGTGTAAAATTACATTTGTATCAAATGTATCTGAAGAACTTCTTAATAGAGGATTTTATTTTTTCCACAATTAGCCAGTTCTGTTTTAATGTGACAATTTCCATCCTGTACTCATCTGCAGAGCTAATAGCAACTGAGCCAACAGTGTCACAACAAGTACAAAAATAACTGGTGCATTTTTATAGAATATGTATGGATCCTGTAGATACTTGAACACACTCTAAAATATCTATAATTAATAATCCAAGAACAAAACTGTAAAGACACAGGACTATGCAAAAATGTTGAGCCACTCCTCATTCCTTCATATTTTGCTTCCAAGGAGCAATACTTTGTTGTAATTTTTCAGGGGTTGTCTTGTACAATAGTTCTCCAGGCTGGTTTTCTTTGGGCATTGGCTGCTTTAGCACTCGATTTCAGTCCAATCCTTGTACCCAAGGATTTCTTTTAGGCCATTTAACACTTACCAATGAATTATTCATGCATAGAAACACACCCAAGGGATGAACCAGCAAAGAATTTTACATTGTATCTTTAGACAATTTGTCATTAGCAGCAAGATTAGCAAGAATTTTGATCCAGCATGCAATACCATCTGTAAAGCGTCTGATTGGCAACAGCTTCATTTTTTAGCTTGACAATGACCACAAACACTGCCAATGCGGGACAACAAAAATGAAGAGCTTTGAATGTCCTTCAAATCTGGAGAACTATTCCTGAAGACTACTTAAAGAAATTACCAGAAAGCTTGCCTAAGTGCAGGAACATTTATATACAGAACTGCACTTATTTCTTATCTTCTTAGCAGAATATAAATAAATTATGGGTGGCTTTTGCACAGTACTGCCCTGGTAAAATATTATAAAATTCATTGAAATTCACTTTTTTTTTAATTTCAAATTTGTACTTGTTAAATTTGTGTGAATGTGTGTGTGAATGGGTGAATGACTGAATGTAGTGTGAAGCACTTTGGGGTCCTTAGGGACTAGAAAAGCGCTATACAAATGCAGGCCGTTTACCGTTTACCGTTTAAAATCAACATCATGCACTTCCAACCACATCCTCTAAAAACCACAAACGCAGGAAATGTACATTTTTTATAACATGAAATATAAGTGTTTCGGTGGGGCGTACTTACTCGTTCATGATAGTCAAAAACATCCTGCCACACAATGGATGTTCTGTTGAGAGCTACAGTGATGTTCACAATGCTAAAAAAAAGATAAGCACATGAATGCATCAGTTGGTGTATTTTGCAGAACCTTCTACATTGTATTTTCCCTTTTACAACCTACTTCTCCATGTAGTAAGCTTCCAATTTGGTGAAGTCTGCTCCAAATCCCATTTTCAGCATGAATGCTCGGACATCAGGGTTGGATTTCCTACAAAAAAAAAATGTGTTCATTGTTTATGTAAAATTTTCATAAACTCTCTTTTATTTAATTATCAAAAATCAGAAAAACTTATGCGAAATTGTTAACAATCAGCCGACATGTAAATGATAGTTACATTTTAACCTACCAGCAGGAAAAGTTAACCTCATCTCCTCCTAAGTGGATATAGGAATCAGGAAACACCGAAGACACTTCCTTAAATAGTGTTGCCATGAACTTGTACGTGGAGGGCAATATTGGATTAACAGGACCAAAAGTACCAGAAGGGCTGCTCCCACTGTAGCAGGGAGTCAACAGGTCAGACTGGCCTGAGAAATAATTGTAAATAATTAATTTGACTCAGTCATATCCTTCAAATACATTTTTTTGCATTTTCTACCGAGAGCAGACAATTTGTTCCACTGATGTAACCACATAATCAGTAAGTCAGCCTTCACTACATATTATATTGCCATTTAGAGTCTTGACTTGCAGATTTGGCAGAAATTATTCCTACTGAGCCTTAACTGGACATCATGCCAAGTACTTTTTCTTCTATAGATCAAAATGCTGAAATCATTTGGACTAAAGTGTTTATTGTTAATGTCACTTACTGGATGTTGGGAGTTTAACTGAATTTTTACCTTTTCCCCAAGACTGAGTGTGGCCTGGTGAATCAAACTCAGGAAGGACTCTTATTCCCCGCATTCTGGCAAATGAGATCACCCTTCCTACATCTGACTGCGTGTAGATGTGAGTCATCGGATGGAAAGCCCCCTGAATAAGAGCCAGAAGTCGCTGTTCAGAGTGGATGCTATTTTTCAGCCATTTCCTATCTCATGAGTCTATATGCATTAAACTTACTTAGATTTCTGGGATAAAATAGCCAAGAACACCTTAGAAAATTAGGATATTTTTTGCAAGGCAAATTGTAATGAATGTGCATAGTTACAGTGAGGATCATATGATAGGACTTACGTAAGTGCCTTAAGGAAGAATATCAACAAACCTTAGCAGACAGGTCCGGAAAGGTGCGGCTCTGATAAGGGAAGGAGGGGTCATCGACAATGTGCCAATGAAACACATTGAACTTACTGAAGGCCATCGCATCCTAACAGAAAACATGTATGTCAATACAGCTTATAATAAATACAGTGACTCAAACAGAAGGCTGAAGTTTCGATTGTGTCATCTGATTATTACCAGGGTTTTTAAAATGGCCTGCACTGGTAAATAATGACGTGAAGTGTCCAATAAAATCCCTCTGAACTGAAAGCGGGGGAAGTCTTTAATCTCAGTCTTGTTCACATAATACTAAATTAAAAACAAACAGAAAAAAGGGAAAAATATTAATTATGCACATATTTGAAACGTGATTACTCCAGAGGCCTTGTTGTTAGTTTGTGCATTAGGAAAAACTGCGACTTACTGAGCCAAAATCCTCTTGATAAACCAACTGACTGAAGGTTTCCAGACCTGTGCTTAAACAGAGGGTGTACAGTACATAATCAGCAATTTGTTATACATGATAGATGAGGTTGACAAAATGTTGGAATTTCCCTACTTTATAATCCACATGCAGTAGGCCTACTTGAAATTCTACTGAGTAAAACTATAAAGAAGGTGTCTGTGTGTGCCACATGAAGTGTTGCATCAGTTGAGTCACATGAGTTAAACAAAACTGGAAATACATAGCACAACCTGACAGACTATTTACTGAATATGTAGTAGAACAAGAAATCTGCTACAACTCATCAAGCTTTGACATACTTTGCCAGCTTAAGAATCAGAATCAGAATACTTTATTAATCCCGAAGGAAATTAGGGATGGTTAACATGTTTGTTTAATTACCAATGCTCTTCAGATATATTTTACATATGCTATAATCACCTCTTAGAGCACCCCACACAGTTTCTGCCTTCAGAGATGCTTGTCCAGCAGAGACGCTCAGAGTGTCTGGAACACAAACAGGAGAAATTATGATATTTTGTCAATCTCTATATAGTATTATGGTGGTTAAATTCATTACAAAACAGTGTTACTTGCTCTAATCAATGGGCATCAGCGGGTTGTACTTACATTGCTCAGAAGAGTCTTCATCTGGGTAGCTGTCGCAATCATCGCGGCCGACACTTACTTGGACAGTAAATGGTTTATCCACACTGAATCGCAGAAAACCATAACCTGGTGGTGATAAATATTAAACCATTACCACAGTATTTGCAGAAGTAAACTTGCACTTTAAGCACATTACACACTGATTTTTGTTCCCTAGGAGCTGTGGGTCTTGTGTTTGTTTCTGAAAAGACAAAAACGAAGCTGTGCTACTCTCGTCCATTGTTATTGTGAGGTTATTTTCAGTTGGTATGCCCGTGCTGGCTGACTGATGACCTGTTGTCTGTACAATGACCATTGATCTGTTTTAAAAGCCAGCATGACAAACAACATTGAAGCCACGTGAGCACTTTGCTCTGTTTATTGTGCGTTTACAATCATGTTTTAAACGTGTTATAATGCCAAACCATCTACTAATAGTGTCCAGATTAGACTTTCACAACAAGTTAGTTTTTATAGGCTATTTCATATCCTTAATGTTTTTCGAATATCTAAACAGTCTGACTGAACAACTACAACGTTCAAGTTCAGCAAGACTTTAAATCTTACTTCGTTTTTGCATTTTAAGAATTTCACCTCACTATAAAACCTACCAGATGAGTAGTCTGGAAAAATAAGAGAAAAGTATCTCTTAAATGCTTCATCCAGAACAGAGCAGCCCTCCTGTGCAGCTGATTGACTTCCGTAAGTAAAGTAGAAAGCCTGGGGATTCAGAGGGTATCGCTCCGGTGAGGAGGTAATAGATTGCGGTAAAGGCCATACTCCCTCAACTGAGTGCAGCCCAAGCTGGAGGAAAATAAAAAACACCAAATTATAGCTGGGAAAAGTGTATCGTCCAGACGTTACTACAGACATGACTTCCCTCGCTCTTCCCTAGCGCGAACTGCACCGTCAAAACGATACCTGTCATGTGCTTAGATGAATGCAATCACATGACTGCGGCAGCGAGTAAATAAGTCGAGTTCGTCTTCCGGAAAATATAAGTAAACATTATTTTTATTTAAACATTATTTCATTTGGTAAGACCTGGACCAAGGTCGCTGTAGTTTAAATAAATTGTAAATTTACAGGAAATGCTTTCAGTTTTAGTTGATATGTATATATATAGTCTTCTATATATATATAAAAGACAAAGGACTGTATATATATATATATATATATAAGACTGGTTTAAGGCAGCATGTACAGTGGGACGTACTCACACAACTGACTTAACAAAGTGTTTGCAAATGTGTCATGCAATGTGCTGCCTGAACCGCAGAATCTGACCCGGATATTTATAAGCATCCCTTTAAAATATAAGTAAACGTAAGTTATTTTAAGTCATTGTAAACTTTAATTAAGAAGTACTCTACTACTCGAATTAATTTTAGCGATCCATTTATTCAATTCAATTTTATTTATATAGCCAAATCAATTTATTAAATGAAATGTATTAAATGAAAAGTAAAGGGAAATGACCGAACTCACTCACGAAACTCATTCAACAGGTAATTCAACAGAATGTTAAAAATGATGATAATTAAAAAAAATTACAGATTTTTTTTTAAAGACCGAACTATTATAACTCTGTTTTGGTATATAAAACACACACAAACACACACACACATACAATCACTGCTTAAAATTATAAACAACTCACGTTATATCTTTTTTCTGTTACTAGCCTTCATTTATGAGAACGAAAGTATTTTCCGTTTGCATTTGATGTGACTCTTCAATTATAAATGAAAATTTTCCAAATTCGTACTTATTTGAATTAGTTGTTGTTGTTGTTTTTTTTATAAACATTTAGGTTAAAGCAAAAGTTTGTTATATTAAATGTTTTTACATCCGTTCTTGCCCTGCTTGTCTGACGTAAGGCAGTCGTCAGTTGGTGACGCTGTGTCTCTTTGTTGGCTTAGCAGCAGCGGCGACGTTTTGTTGTTATTTTCGCCGCAGCTGAAAAACGGGCTCGGATCAACGTTTCATACGCTATAGACCTTTAGGTGTGCTTGTCACTTGCTGATAACCGCGCTAGGAATGGACTCAGACGAGGGTTATAACTATGAATACGACGAAGACGAGGAGGAATGTAGCGAGGACAGCAATGAAGAGGAACCCGACGACGACACCCTGGAGCTCGGGGAGGTGGAGTTGGTCGATCCCGTGGTGGCCGGCGGGGAGCGAGATGAGTGCGGTGAGACTGGCGGAGGAGGCCACGGCCCGGGCGAGGAAGAGGAGGAAGACTACCGTTTCGAAGTTTTGACTGCCGAGCAGATCCTCCAGCATATGGTCGAGTGTATTAGGGAGGTCAACGAGGTCATCCAGGTAGGTATTTTGGTATGACAGCATCAGGAAAGATCGGGGTCCTAGCGTAAAAACAGGCCGTGGATATTAGCTAAACCATTAGCCTTCCAGTAGTATACTTGTTATAGTTGACAGTTTGAGAACAATGATGAGATTTATAGAAAACTAAACTTACATATATATATAAGATAATTGCACTATGGAACTTGGTAGTTAAAATGAAGACATGAACATTTTTCTTATATATGTGAAGGTAAAAATTTCCATTAGGACTTTTCATCCAGGAAGTAGTCCCATCCCTAAGTTGGCAGCAACGCTTGCTAAGCTAATGTTAGCTCGCTGGCTACATAGCATCTTACAGCAAAAGCTCTAGACCAGGATGGTGTTAAGTGCCAGCTCCTGCTAGACGACAGATAGTGTGCGTTGAGATGTTAACTGAAACTTGGGTTTTCAGAAATTTTGCATTTCTAAAGCTAAACCTTGCGTTTAGTGTTATTTTAACGTTGGACCCAAAGGCTTGGCCAGCGATAAGTTAGCAAGTGGGATGCTAGCTTAGTTACGCTTATGTAAAAGAACGGGTTATGATAATTTCATTTTTTACCAAAAACATAAAAAGTTAAATTTTGCGATAGCTTTCAATGAAATTTATGAAGAAACGGGGGGAAGTTCTTCGCTTTAAGCTAGCGTTAACCTGGGCCTCCATTTCCTTTCACAGAGCTTCACTTGAGCTCAGAATAAAATGGAAAATGATCTTGATAACTCAGCATCCAGTTTGGTATCTGAGAAAATGCGTTGGAGTTTTATGTTGATTTCTATATAAACAAGCCTAAAAACTAAAATTGGCCAATAATGATACATATTATTTTTCTACCCTACGGCCGCATGGCAATTTCTTTTCTACAGCAAAAACGAGTAACACGGTGATTTTTATCCCCGTTAAATATTGTTTATGTTTAATTATTAAATTTTCAGGGTTTTGCAGCACCAACAAATGCCTTTAAAGTTAATCCATACATAGATCTTCTGATATGACGTTTGTAGAATATGCTTCAAAAAGCCAGTACTTTATTAACATGCATTGGCTTCATAGTGGTCAAGTTTACATCAACTTTAGTCATCGGTACTGAGAAGTACTACTAATCTTTTGACCAACCCATTCATATCAACGTGGTTAGATAAATTAGAAGAACATTTTGCAGTGGAACCACAAAGAATAACAGCTAAAGGAAGTGTAAAATTGAATCAGTGCCCTTATAAAAGATACCATCATCATTGTTGTATGTTTTGCATATCTGTTTTAGGGTGTGTTAGTGTTAGCTAGGTGTACATAATACAGTCAGAACATACTAAATATGTTGTCAGTCCTTTCCAATGTTATGATTTTTGTTATCTCAAGGTGTATCCTGACTTAATTATTCCGCCAAGGTGAGCACCAAAGTAGAGATATACAAGCAGGGCTGTTTTTCTGGGCCAATGAACAGTCCATTACAGGGTTAGGTGGGATTTGGTACAAACCTGGACCACTTTCTTTGAAATTGTAAAATGGGCATTGGGCTAGGGAGACAATACACTAATTTTTGGTCACTTCTTTATATTTGACAAGTGAGATGCCACATATGTGCAACATATACATGTGGTCTCCTAAATCTCACAGATATTTTCCAAACAACTAATTATTATGTGTTATATGGGTAGTTTGAGGGTATAGCTTTCCCCATTTTTAAAGAGCAGTTTGTAACTTGGGTTAAACACTAATTTAGTACCTTACAGTAATTTCACATTAGAATACAGAGTTATTCTAATCCCTGAACTATAGTAAATGGAGTATAATAAGAAATATTTGTATTAACAGGTACATGGAGAGAGGTTCCTCATCATCCCTAGTGCTTTCCCTAAACTGTACAGCCTTGGCACTGGACATAGTCCATTTTATGCTACTGTTACACCATCATCCACATTTTCAGATAGTTTGTGAGATACCTGTTACACATTTAGAATACAACAAACAAATTATGTGTATACTACCTGTTTCTGAACCTGACACGCTTTATAATTCCAAAGTATTTTCAGAATGATGGTGTAAGCCAGTGGTTTTCCTGGTTCTGAAAGGCCTTTGTGGGGAGTGACATGGCCAAAAGCATGACTGGTCCATTTACCGACAAGGGTGTGAGTTAGCATTACTTTATTTGGAAGAAATGTAAAGTGTTTCTGGACGGCTCCTAAAAATGATATAGTTCTTGGGTGGGTAAGAACACATTTAGCAACATAATTCCATCAGATATGGAGGTGATTTTGCAAGGATCCATCTGGTGGGTGAATCCTTGCATCCTTTCTTTACCCAACTTAAACCACTTTCCTATCAATGTGTAGGCTTCAGTAACCTAGAAATTGTATTTTTATTTTATTTCCCCCCAGGCAAAAGATCTACAAAAACAGTACTTTTATAGGTGTTTATACATCTATGGCTCTCTAACTGCAATTTGGACGGAAAGTCCTTATATTAAGCCACAAATGGGACTGGGTATATATGATCAAGCATGATGATTAAATCCATTTTGTAGGGTATTTATTAGTTTGAGTCATCAGAAATCACAATTGTCACATCAGTGGGACATAAGTGCCACATTTGGCTTCATCCAGTGTAATATGCATACAGACTTCTAAAGACTAAAACGTTTTGTTTATTTAAAAAATAAAAACTGTCTCAGTTGTGTCATCTTTAACAGCTACTGTGGTTATAAGAAAGGAATACATGCCTGAGTGTGCTTCATTGAATAGCTGTAATGAATACAAACTTTTCTAAACATATTGTCTATTATTATGGCTTAGATTGTGATGATTTAATTTTGTGATAACTTGTAAAGCTGTAGTTGCTTTGTGTTGTATTTAGTGTAATGGGCAGCTGTTTTTATGTCCATTCACTGATGTACATGGGTGAACAGCAAGATCAAATATGAGAACTTGCTTATGTTTTCTAACCCTATTTCTAATGTGCAAAATAGTTTAATGTCCTGCCATAGAATATATTACCTTTACCTTCCTAATTCAATACTTATCTTTAATCAGGCTTTAAAAGCTGAAAAGGCCTGAAAGCCATTACAACCGTTGGACCCTCTAGCTCATTGAAACTAGTAGAAGTTGCAAGTAAAAATCAAAAATGTTTCTCACAAACTATTTCTTGTTCCTTTAGAATCCTGCAACAATAACACGCATTCTTCTCAGTCACTTCAACTGGGATAAAGAAAAGCTCATGGAAAGGTAAGAAATTCTAAATTACATTCTTGGCCATTTTTAACTTCCTGACAAGTGTCAACCAAAAGGTTCATAGCAGAGCGTATCTAAAAGCTTATTTTATTTCAATCTATTCAGGTATTTTGATGGTAATCTGGACAAGCTTTTCTCTGAGTGTCATGTCATTAACCCGAGTAAGAAGCCCCGAATACGTCCTCCAATCAACACTAGATCATCGGCACAGGACATGCCATGTCAGATCTGCTATCTGAACTTCCCCAACTCTGTGAGTCACATAATGACACTAACATGGAGCTCCACTATCTTAATGTGTTGTCAGGCAATTTAATGCACACTTTAACTTTTGTAATGCAAGTGGAGAAACAACAGGAGAGCATCATCAGAGGCAGGGACATTGTAATCCTGTTTTGTTACAAATGGGGAAACCTGTTTTATTTTTTATATTTTAAAGACTAGTTAAAAGCTTTGCTAAAAGTCATTTAACATAACAAAAGGTGGTTACAACAGCTAAGAAAATAAATTGCTAGGATTTCTGTTTCTTATACATGTTATAAGATCTTTATAAACAGATACAAACTTATCCCCCCCCATACAATAGCATTTTTTTTTCAGCCACATTTATTCAGTAATAGCTCCTCCCCATGAACAACCTTGGATTTGGTGACTCTGTCATCAGGCCAGAGGGACATTAAAAATACAAGGGGGGAAAAACAAATTACATTTTTACATCTCTCTGATCAAAGCTATACATAAGGACTCAGTAGCTGTTTTATAAAAACTGTCCTCCAATAACAATATTAATAAAAGAATTGTTCTTTGAATATAAAGCTGTTCAATAACATAAATGTCACTTGTCTATTACATTTCTTTTGTTGAATGGATTCTAAAAAATTCCCAACAACATATTGTATGCCAAATTTATTTTATACCAGTTATGCCAGGCACTGCTTTATTTAATGCAGTGCACATTGCAGTCTTCTCAAAACAGAGGTGCTTGGTGTTTTAAAAAATTGGTAAAGGAACCTCCTGGGTGGAAAGGGTTTAATGTTAAGGTGAAAATGGATCTGTAAATAAAAGGCACACATCATCATGTTTAGTTCTTCAGTTAAGATGATGTGATGTCAGAACTATGGATTACCATAACTGTCTGAATTTAGAATATTATCATTTGGAGCACACATTTCAGTGTTATTTCAATCAGGTTGTTAAAACAGTGTAAAATCCAGGTGATGTTTTTCTTAGAATGGTTTTCACTGGCCTCTGAAGGCTTTTCCTACTTGGTTACTAATTTTTTCATACCTTGTGTGTTTCATTCCAAATTATAAACTATCTGCTTTTTGTTGATACTGTTTGTTTAACAGTATTTTACAGGCCTGGAGTGTGGACACAAGTTCTGCATGCAGTGTTGGGGAGATTATCTGACGACCAAAATAATTGAAGAAGGAATGGGACAGGTATCTACTTCAAAATTTTAAGATTTATTTAGAATAGAACTTGTGACTTTTATGCAACAAGTGGCAATGTCCGTTTTCTCTTAATCAAAGGTAAGAGGGCACCAAGAGTCCTCAGCAGTTCTCGTCTACCTTCTCGCTTACCAGCCTATGTGCAGATACAGATACTAGTAGCCACTATCCAACCAGTATAATTTACAGATCAACTCATTTGATATTAGGATTGGATATCAGTGTAATCCTAACTCAAAAAGCTGAACTGTGTATCCATGACAGTGGGATAGTGTGTTCAGTTCAACGCTGTTGTTCTTTGTTTGTTACACCATGCGTCAGCACCTCTGCTTGGAAGTATTTCATGTCTGCAACATCAACATTTCTTTCTTTGTATCTTTGCAATAATTTGAATTGTTCATGTTAGTTTAAGAATTTCAGACGCTCCCATGATGAGTCGTTTGGTTTTCTTGCTCTTTTGCAATTTTACAGTACTTTGAAAAACTGTGACGAGTTCTACGTTAGCTATTCTATTCAGTCATTGACACGCATCCATACACTCCTTTTAATTTATACATTTAGCGCATTTAACTTGCAGATAGACCTTCAAAGAATGACACAGTGGCTGTAATTTTGGGGGTTTCATTGTCTTCACTTGACATTTAGACAGAGTTTGTGTTCTTGTAACTGTCACAGGGCAAGCCTAAAAAAGTTAAATCAGAAAGGGCAGCTGCTCTTCCTCTTCTTTACCACTGTGATCCAACAAAACAAATTGCAGAGGGTGCTATTTGATACCGCCTTTACTATTTCAAAAGGTGGTTCTCTAATTATCTACCTTCTGTGTTTCCTTTACAGACCATTTCTTGCCCTGCTCATAGCTGTGACATTTTGGTTGATGACAACACAGTCATGTGAGTATCTGTGCATATATTTTTTATGTTGTTACATCTTGGGCATTGTTCAATGAATAGCATAAGAAGTAAAATATATGCCAGAAGAATTTAAAATAAATAAAAGATGAGAAACAACATTACTGGTCATAGACTGCATATACAGGTGAAACGTAATCGCCATAACATCATCGAAGTCCCATTGTGAAGCTGAGTGTATTGACCATCATTATCTTAGCTTTTTGAAACCAGATGTCACCAGGGTTGGTTAAGGGGCATTGTATGCTCATGCTGTAGCGGTTTGTTAGTCATATGGGAAAGCGTATCCTTCTTTGTTGCCCTTGTGGACACTAATTAAGACCATAATTAA